CATGTATATGCATTGTGTGCAAGTTGTTTCATTCAGGATGCTCATTCACCCAACAGAGTTAATGATATGCATGAGGCTACTGACAGTCACCTCTACTTGTTCATTCATATTCCTGTAAGTACCAAAATTATTTGTTTACTTGTGGTGAATCCTGTATCAAAGAAACTCAGTCAGTTGACTGGCCTCTAGAATGAATCAGCCACAAGATGGAACACATGTCAAATGTTTGACGATTGAGAAAATATGCTATAACCAACTTAGTTGGGATGCAGTGGGTTTGGATGACATTAGGTGATGAGGTGTGAGATGGGCCGGGCAGGCGGTTAACCTGGTTTGAGATTGAATGGAATTGAATGATGTGGGTGGTCTAATTTCTGGTGCAGTGGGTTTGAGTGGAATGGGATGAGGGGGTTTGGGGTTGGATGGCTGCAGTGGGTTTGGATAAAATGGGATAAGGGGGTTTGGGGTTGGATGGCTGCAGTGGGTTTGGATAAAATGGGATGAGGTGGTTTGGGGTAGAATGGGTGCAGTGGGATTGGATAAAATGGGATGAGGTGGTTTGGGCAGGATGGCTGCAGTGGGTTTGGATAAAATGGGATAAGGTGGTTTGGGGGTAGGATGGCTTCAGTGGGTTTGGATAAAATGGGATGAGGTGGTTTGGGGTAGAATGGGTGCAGTGGGCTTGGATAAAATGAGATGAGGTGGTTTGGGGTAGAATGGGTGCAGTGGACTTGGATAAAATGAGATGAGGTGGTTTGGGGTAGAATGGGTGCAGTGGGTTTGGATGAAATGAGATGAGGTGGTTTGGGGTAGAATGGGTGAAGTGGGTTTGGATGAAATGAGATGAGGTGGTTTGGGGTAGAATGGGTGAAGTGGGTTTGGATAAAATGAGATGAGGTGATTTGGGGTGGAATGGGTGCAGTGGGCTTGGATAAAATGAGATGAGGTGGTTTGGGGTAGAATGGGTGAAGTGGGTTTGGATGAAATGGGATGAGGTGGTTTGGTATGGATGCAGTCGGTTTGGATGAAATGAGATGAGGTGATTTGGTATGGGTAGAGTCGGTTTGGATGGGCGCATGGTTTATTGTGTAGATTAAACTTGATATGGCAATACCCATAAATAAGTGAAGAAAATAAACAAAAAAATAACCACGCTTAAAATAAGCACCAAGTTCATATTTAAAATCCATTTCTCACGTCGTGTTTGTGCAATTGAAGTCAATCTTTTTTCAAGTTGTTCTTTCTCTTCAGAAGTGAGTTGTTTTTCAGCTTGGACACCACAAAACCAAGTAAAGAAAGCAGTGACCTTTGCAGAGAATGATGTATCTAAGGAAGTATTGGCTGTGGTAGTAGTATGAGATACTTGATGTACTGCAAGAAAAGAAATGTTAATGTTTCATTAAATAACACGTCATGTTGGTTATTGACAAGCTGAAAACATCTAGCTCTGATGTTGACAAAGTTATTTTTATTACTGTAGGTTGTCAACAACTTGAAAACCACCAGTTGTATGGCTAAGGGGTTTACAACAAATGTAGGTTAGGTGGTTCTCAAATTACGTGAAGATAAGTTTATTCGCTATTTAGTGAATATTTTTGTTATTTTAGGTAAAAAGTGCTATTTTTGACTTTTTTAAGATTGCTGGGTTGATTGTCTTGATATTTTATATGTATGTGAATTTATTGGATCTCAGTCAGATTTGTTTATTTTGTGATGACAACTTTTATTCTCTAATTTTAGTGAATAATTTTGTCATAAAAAATCAATTTATTCATTTATTGTCGATAACTCCAATTTCCACATTTTAGAGAATATTCTTGTTATCTTGAAAATGGATGGCTAGACTGAATGATTTGAGACTCCATTCAGTTTGTGCATCTCAAACAGTGGAGCTATATCAGCTGCATTCTTCTAGTTTTTACATGGTTCATTATACTGAACAAGGCTACAACACATATTTGTCATTTCCTACACAAATCACACAGGCTTTTGCTGATAATCTTTACTCTGACTCATTTCAAATACTACAGTTATTTTTAAATTAAATTTTTAATTATCCTAATATTTTCCACAAATTATTATATTTAGAATAATAATTTTGACACTTTTTTTAAACCAAGATTTTTGAAAAAATCCAGGACAACAAAAAGTATAGTATATATAATTTTGTTAAGCCTATGTCACCAGCCTACCATTTGAGATATGGTATAATATTCCTGCCATAGAAACCTATGGTAAAAGAATTATAATACTGAAAAATGGGCATTATCCACTAAAATATAACCATCATTTAGTCCATATTTTTATATTGTCTAGAAGTACATTTTATTGCAAAATGAATAAATTCAGATATTATCCTTTATGAGCAGGATTCTAGCTTAAAGACAACATAATATTTAAATCTGTGTTATTTCAATTTGCTACACGAAAAATAACATAAAGTTATGATCTTATACAAGTTGACAAAAAAATAATGTACATGTGGTTGTATTACCCAGCATGCACTGCTCATCAATATTAGCATAAGCATAGTGCAAAATGTTGTAGAAGAGCATTGTGGGATTAGTGAATAAAGAGACATGTATAAAACCAACTTACTTGTACTATCACCATCCATAGATGTCTCTATTGTTTCCTTATCACCATCTGTCATTGTGGGGTCTTCATTTTGTCTGTCATGCTCTCCTGTGTCACTATCCCGTTGTGCTTTGTCTTCTTTCCCCTTATCCATTTCGTATTGATGACGTTCTACAGTGTCATCAATTTCCTCATAGTTACCCTCTCTATGTCTTGTCCAGAAAGTCAGTCTCACAATCTGAAAAAATTACTGTCATTATAAACTCATAGACAATGTAAGACCATCAGCAGAAGCCCATAGTCATGATAAGGTTTTTGGCTGAAACACACAGTCATGGTAAGGCCATCAGCAGAAGCTCCATAGTCATGATAAGGTTTTTGGCTGAAACACACATGCAGTCATCGTTAGATCATGTAAAAGTATCACATAGATATGACACTGATGGTTTATGGGTATTCATATGAACAACATTTTTTTGAATCAGGACTGTGATTTTGTTGAAGACCCAATTATTTCCTTTTTACATTATGTTGATAGATCCTCTAAAACCTGCCGTAAATTGTGACAACATCTAAGGACTAATGCCAGATTAAATTGACAAATAAAGTCATGACTTTGGTTTCATTAGAGACCTCTTGTCTGATTCCTGATGACTACATATAGATGATAATCACTTAATACAGATATTATTCCAATATCTTTGCATGAGCTATAAAAAAATACACAACAAACATCCACATTATACAACTCCTGAATGGTAAACACATGCAATATCTATCATAAAACAAAGAAACATA